GCCGGACGGGGCCGGGGAGCCGCCCGCCACGCCCGCGGGTCTCGGGGCCGGAGGAGACCGTGTCTGCTTCAACTTGGGCCGCGAACTCTATTTCTACCCGGGCTGCTGTCGTCGCGGGAGCCAACGGGTGAGCAGCCTGCATCGTAGGGCCCTGGGTGCTGAGAGGATGGTGGTCCCTAGGTGATCCAGAAGTGGTAGGAGGGTCCCGGAATTATGTGGGGCCCTGCGATAGGCATCCTCAGCTGTGATGGCCGTCCCAGGGGGACGGGTTCTTGGCGATAATGCAGGATTCCCAAAGATGCGGGGAGGCCCCCCGGGTGCTGGGCATCCTTGAGGTCATGTGAGATCCCCGCGTTATGCGTGCGGGTTCTGGAATGGTGAGGTTCTGGAGGTGATGGGGAATCGGAGGCGATGCGGCTCCTTCGGATTCCGGGTGACAGGCATTCTGCAGGTGATGGGGAATCCTGAGGTGATGCAGAAGCCAGGTGTATTGCAGTCTGGAGGTGATGGGGGGGGCAGTCTTGACTTTTGGGCAGCTGGAAGTCAGGATTCCAGAAGTAATGGGCTTAGAGGTAATAGGGATCCCAGAGAAAATTGGGGCTCTGGAGGTAATGAGCTGATGGGACATCTGGTGGTGATGAGAGCCCAGAGGGGACATCCTCAGGTGTGATGGGTGTCTCTACAGTGATGTAGGTGCCAGAGGGGATGTGACCCTTGCAATTTATGGTGGTCCCCAGAAGTGATGGGGATCCTCAGAGCCCAGAGGGATGAAGGTACCTAAGTATGGGGGAACATGAGGTATAATGGGTCCCTGAACTCTGCTGGGCGTCATGAGATTTAGGGACTCCCTAGTAAAGGGAATCCTGAGATCTTGGGCTCCGGAGTCCTGGGGATTTGGGTGACCCTGCGTTTGGAGGGGGGCTTGGAGTATTGTGGTGCTAAGACCCAGGGGAGTGCTGAGGTTAACAGTGCAGGACTGGAAAGGAATCAGAGCTCAGGGACTCTGGGACCCTGAACCCTGATGCTGTGGGTGAGGGTGTCCCAGAAGTTGGGGGATCCAAGTTTGGGGAGGTGCTGTGGTCTTATGCCAGGGAGTGGGAGGAGGGGAATCCTTCCTGTCAGCTTTTTTCTCTACTCTGTCTGAGATGTGGGTCCCCCTTCCTGTCTGTGGTCACCTGCTCCCTCCCCACTCACTCATTCACCTGCCCACTTCCCCCAGGGATTTACCCTGCTTCCTCTTAGTGGTTTTACCCCAACCTCAGCACCCTCTTCCTTCCTCTCAGTGGTAGAAGCCACTAACTCCTTTTTTCCCACCACTCAAGTCGATTGACCTCAACAAGCCAATTGACAAGCGGATCTATAAGGGCACGCAGCCCACCTGCCATGACTTCAATCAGTTTACTGCTGCCACGGAGACCATCTCCTTGCTTGTGGGGTTCTCAGCCGGCCAGGTGCAATACCTGGACCTCATCAAGAAGGACACCAGCAAGCTATTCAATGAAGAGGTGATTGTGGGCCCCCAGGGTCCAGAATTACGCCCCCTCCCCATCCCCCCCATCACTGTTTGCCATGAGACTTCAGCCCTGGGGAGCAGCGTAGGCCTAAGACGGGAGGGATGAGAGAGAGGAGGCGGGTGGACTGACAGCTAGATGGGATGGGCGACAGACAGCAGCTAGGGCGAAAGCAGCTAATGATGACACCGGCCCCTCCTATGCCCAGGCCCTGTGCTGTGTTAGCTGTATGCTGAACACTTTACTCCTGGAGTTTTCATCAACCAATGGGTTAGAGATTGTGGTGCCCATTTTGCAGACTAGAGAATGGAGGCTGGTCACTGGTTGGGACTGGTTTGAAGCCAGAGCCCCTGCTCTTCAGATTCTGGGCCCTGTGGGCATTGGATTCATATCCTTGCTGCACCATTTACTCACTGTGTAGCTTTGAGAAAGTGACGGTTCCTGTCTGAGCCTCAGTTTCCCTCCTTTGCAGAATGAGATTCTCACTCCTACCTCACAGGACTGTTGTTGTAAAATCATGCGTGGATGTTGCTCAGTCCTGGGTGGACTTGGCACAAGAGAAAATGCTGGCGAGTGGTCTTATCCGTGGGCACGAACTATTCTCGTCCTGTGTCTCTGTGTTCAGAGGAGGTGTTCCATCTATACGGAATGCATGAATGGCAGAAGGGAGTGAGTGGAACAGCGAACGGATTAAAAATGCACTAGCTCATCCATTCACAGAATATTTATTGAGCATTAGTCCTGAGCCAGGCGTGTTCCCAGCACTGGGGATGTCTCATCTCAGTGAACAGAACAGGACCTGCCTTTGTGGCGCTTTCATCTAGCTGGGGAGACTGTTATCAAATAAGAGAAGTACACTGTGTGTCGGAAGGTGCTGATTGCTGCAGAGACAATGCAGCGGAGAGGGCTCGTGAGGTATAAACAGGGTGGTTAGGAGGGGCCTCCCTGGGAGATGACATTGAAATGAAGACCCGAGGGGGCAAGAAGAGTTATGGGGAAAGGACATTCTGAGATGAGGGGACAGCTAGGACAAAGGCCCCAAAGCAGGACATGTGGCCAGAGCAGTTGTTGAGGGGGAGGGTGGTAGGTGAGTTCTGAGAAATCACGGGAGGGGCCGGGTCACAGAGGGCCGGGCCCGGGTTCCTCCGAGCCATAGAACAGGGAAATAGGGAAATGGCTTGATTTTTTTTTTTTCCCCCTATTCTCTCAAGAATGAGAAGCAACTTAGATACCTGGGGAAGAAGTTGCATAGTGGCTGCCTGAGGACATTAGGGCTAAAGTCACTGTCAAACCCCTAGGGGGTGGATGCCAAGTGCTGATTCAGATTTTAACAGCATACTCAGAGGACTTTCCTCTCTAAATCAGGGGTCCCTAAACCCCAGGTCGAGGATGGTACCAGTCCTTGGCCTGTTAGGAACCGGGCGGCACAGCAGAGGGTGAGCGGCAGTGAGCAAACGAAGCTTCATCTGTGTCTGCAGCCGCTCCCCAGTGCCAGCATCACCGCCTCAGCTCCGCCTCAGATCATCGGGCATTAGATTCTCATAGGAGCTCTGGTCCCTGGTGCCAAAAAAGGTTGGGGACCGCTGGTTTGGGGAATAGACACGGGCAGTGGTAGCCTGGCGGCCAGTTAAGCCATTGGAGGGTTGATGGCGGCTGGGGCCAGGGTGATTGGGTCAGGCGGGGCGTGAGCAGAAGTCGGGTTCTGCGTATTAGTGAAGAACTGGGGGTGAGTTGTGAGGAGAAAAGGAGCAAAGATGAGCAGTGGGAGGATGGGCTTGTCACTCACGTGTCCAGGAAGTACCTTCCGGGGGCCTCCCGTGTGCGCAGCTCTGTGGCCTGGGGCTGGGGCAGGATGCCACACAGACAGAGATCCCTTTCTTGGAGAAGCTGCTGTTCTGTGAATCGGTTTGTTGCCTTGAACATGATGTGGTAAAGGCAGAGGGAGGCATTAGGTAGAGGACAGTTCTCTGGACGGCAGGACTGACCCCAGGATGAGACATCGAAGCTCTGTGGCACTCCCGTGGCCACCTACCAGGGAGCCCCTCTCCCCTGCGTTCCCATGACCAGCAGTTTCCCTGCAGTGGGAGCCCCTCTACTGGGAGGCGTGGGCTGTGTCCCCTGGCCTCCTGGGAGCTAGGTCCGGGGAGCAGGCCTGCCGGGCCCGACTGCCTCCCCCCAACCCCCGCCGTCTCCCCTGGCAGCGGCTGATCGACAAGACCAAGGTGACATATCTGAAATGGCTGCCCGAGTCGGAAAGCCTATTTCTGGCATCACACGCCAGCGGCCACCTGTACCTGTACAACGTCAGCCACCCCTGCGCCTCCGCGCCGCCGCAGTACAGCCTGCTGAAGCAGGGCGAGGGCTTCGCTGTCTACGCCGCCAAGAGCAAGGCGCCTCGCAACCCGCTGGCCAAGTGGGCGGTGGGCGAGGGGCCCCTCAACGAGTTCGCCTTCTCGCCCGACGGCCGGCACTTGGCCTGCGTCAGCCAGGACGGCTGCCTGCGTGTCTTCCACTTCGACTCCATGCTCCTGCGTGGGCTCATGAAAAGCTACTTTGGGGGCCTGCTCTGCGTGTGCTGGAGCCCCGACGGGCGCTACGTCGTCACGGGTGGCGAAGATGACCTGGTCACCGTGTGGTCTTTCACCGAGGGCCGTGTGGTGGCCCGCGGCCATGGCCACAAGTCCTGGGTCAACGCTGTGGCCTTTGACCCTTACACGACGAGGGCCGAGGAGGCCGCGGCAGCCCATGGTGACGGGGAGCGGAGCGGTGAGGAGGACGAGGAGGAGGAGCCCGAGGCCCCGGGCCCGGGCGGGGGAGTCCCCCTGTCCCCCATGCCGAAGGCCGGCTCCATCACCTACCGCTTTGGCTCAGCCGGCCAGGACACGCAGTTCTGCCTGTGGGACCTCACCGAAGACGTGCTTTACCCACACCCGCCCTTGGCCCGCACCCGCACTCTCCCGGGCACTCCCGGCGCCACGCCCCCTGCCGCCAGCAGCTCGCGGGGTGGCGAGCCGGGCCCCGGGCCTCTGCCCCGCTCGCTGTCCCGCTCTAACAGCCTCCCGCACCCGGCGGGCAGTGGCAAGGCTGGCGGCCCAGGCGCGGCGACCGAGCCGGGCACACCGTTCAGCATCGGCCGCTTTGCCACGCTCACGCTGCAGGAGCGGCGGGACCGGGGGGCAGAGAAGGAGCACAAGCGCTACCACAGCCTGGGCAACATCAGCCGGGGCGGCAGCGGGGGCGGCGGCAGCGGGGACAAGCCCAGTGGTCCTGTGCCCCGCAGCCGGCTGGACCCGGCCAAGGTGCTGGGCACGGCACTGTGCCCGCGCATCCACGAGGTGCCGCTGCTCGAGCCCCTGGTATGCAAGAAGATCGCCCAGGAGCGGCTGACGGTCCTCCTCTTCTTGGAGGACTGCATCATCACCGCCTGCCAGGAGGGCCTCATCTGCACGTGGGCCCGGCCGGGCAAGGCGGTGAGTCAGCCACACCGGCCGCCCCGGGACCAGGGAGGAGGCAGGTGTTGGCAGAGGGCTCTGTCACCGCCACAGCTTCTAGCCCCATGGGGGAAGGGTCAGCTGTGGAAACCTTAGTGTCTCAGAACAGACCCTCTTGGATCTCAGAGGGACAGGCTCTAGGACCCGTGGCGACAGGCCGCAGAGAGAGGGTTGGGCGAGAGAGAGAGCTGGGTGTGGTGGACACCACGGCCGGCTATCAGAACAGTCAGTGGGCTGCCAGGTCTTACTAGTTTCTTAAAGCTGGATCTGTACTTTTATGAGAAATGTGATTTTTAAATAGTGAATCTTTTTAGATAACTGTGGGTCAGGCTCTGTGGACAGCATTGAACCTTGGGCCTGGTGTCCAGCCTGGGTCTGGACTCTTGGGCTCTAAGTCCACTGCTGGAGGCACAGACTGGGATGCCAGTTTTGAGGTCCAGTCCTGCACTTCCTGTGTCCCTTAGGGCAAGTCCCCACCCCTCTCGGACCTCTGTCACCACTTAGGACAGGGAGGCCTGAAGATGGGTGGTGTGGGGGATGCACCCAGCTCCTGGGGCGGCCGCGGGGTTCAGGAAGGGCCTGGTAGGTGAAGCACAGGTCTGGCGCCTTGTAGCTTCGGAGCTGTGGGTTCAGCGGTCTGAGCTCCTTGGGGTCTGGGCTCGGGCACCCAGGATGCCAGGTCCGAGGGCCGCAGCCCGGTTCCTCGGAACCGTAGAACGTAGGGCTCAGTTTCAGAGCCTCCGAGGTGGGCCGCTGGGATCTGGGGAGTCTCGCAAGTCCTGAAGGAGACCCCTCTGTTCCCCTAGTTCCCAGACGAGGAGACCGAGGCCCAGACAGGGGAAGGAAGTTGGCCCAGGCCACCCAGCAAGTCAGTGGTAGAGGTAGGACTGGCCCTGAGTTCTTTTCCCCAGAATCTCAGGACCCTCCTCAGTCAGAAGGGGACCCCGGGTGCCCCCTCTCCTCCCCACCTCCATACCTCCCCCATGCTCTCTGCTCAGGATCACCCAGGGACTTTAATCATCGTGTACAAGTGCCGCCTGCTGGGCAGGGAAGCTGGCCCAGAGGCAAGTTCCCAGCCTAGAGCAGTGGCCCCTGTAGGGGGTGGTCTGGGGTGGACTGAACGGCAAGGCCAGGTGGCAGCAGTCTGGGGACTCCCGGGCTGGCGGCAGCCTCAGGTTGCCTCTGACCCCTGGGTCTCCCCTCTCATCTTCCCCAGGGCATCCCGTCCCAACCAGGCAACTCCCCAAGCGGCACCGTGGTGTGAAGCCCTGGACGTTCGGAGCCCCGCCCCGCCCCCTCAGCCAGAACCCTCCCCGCTGACCTCAGATCAACGTGTTAACAAGACTAACCATGATGGATGGACTGCTCTGGCCCCCCGCCATGCACAAATTTGGGGGGCTGAGGGTCCCCCAGACTGGCCGAGACCCTGGGGGGATATAGTGGCTCATGTGGCCTCAGCCTTGTCCCCACCCACTGCCAAGTACAATGACCCCTTCTCTGAAACAGTGTTAGCCTCATCCCTGTCCCCAGCATGTGACTGGTCATTCCAGGGGGAGAAGCTCCCCACCCACAAGAGCCTCAGCTCTACAGTGTGCCCCTGGTCTGTGGGCAGGGCAGGGGTGGCCCGCCCCTCCCCTGGTCCCACCTCCCTTGCTGTCGTTTGTGCTTTTGAAGAGTGTTAAGTTATGGAGGCCTCTAGGGGCCTCCTTGTCCCCAGCACCTTATTTATACTAAAGTTCCCTGTTTTCACAGCGTTTCTGTTCCCTTCTGCGGGGCGTGGAAGAGGGGCATGTGCTTTCACTGCAGTGCTGGGTCATTCCACTTCTACCGGGGAGCAGCCAGGCCCCGCCTTCCCCCGCCCCACCCCGCCCCCTGCCCCCTTTATAATAGCGGGCAAGCCGGCAGGACGAGGG